CTAGTTTTTAGATGAATATTCTAAAAGTTATTTCTGGTAAGTTTCAACCAAGTTAGAAATAGGGAATTAATTCATTAATGGTGATAAGTTACTCTATGTAGCCAACAGATTGAAGTTGAGGTTTCGAACAACTGGTCATCGACTCAACTGGCAGTATGTAGTTCACTAACTGCGAGACCAGAAGGTCTTGGGTGGAGTCGTAGGGGACCCTATTTTTTAATGGTTCTTTTTAACTAAATCCAGCCAACAATAGAAACTATTTATTGAATAACATATATGAATATATATGTAGTGTACGCTGTCGATATAATTAGTATGTAACACCAATGGGAAATGGAAACTCTGGCAGCAGAAGGCTAAGAAGATCAAGTTGAAGAAAATAGAAAGGGATTGCGCATGGGAAGAATCATACAAAATCTGAACGAAAAATGGTATACATTTGCAAATGAAGTATTCAATGTGTGGTTTTCACATTTTATCAAAAGATTCTGTAATTTTTTGTTCTCACACAATTTGTTTTCCCCACTTGTGTTCTCGTTGACTACACATATACATATGAATTTTGAATCGCTTTTCGTAGTTATAGAAAATACAAAACATACATATTAAATACTATCTTAATAATATTCATAAGGTAAAAATGGACTAGTACGGTCTATAGTGGTGAGAAATAAATTTGAAATGGCTTATGAATAATGAAACATTGGTTAAATTTTCTACATCTTCACAATCAGATTTCATGGACAAGAACGTGAATTATATATAGTAAATAAAATAGAAAATAACTACCAGTACTGAGAGAAATATTATCCGTTTTTTGAATTTTGTTTGATTGAATTTAGTCACGATCCTACGGGGTATTAATTTGGTATTAAATGTGACTGGAACTCATGATCTTAACAATATATATATATATATATATATATATATATATATATATGCGTAAAACTGATTCTGAAACATAAACCAAGATTAATAACCACTTACATATTTAAGCAAATTTTGTATGCAATAACTTACTACCCTATTTTTGACTTTGAAGATGTTTTTCACTTCTGTCTTTAATTATTTTGAGAACTTTATATGAATAGGATGTACAATTTGGTCAGGGTTAGTCACAGCTATTTGTCCAGAACATTTCAGTGTACCCCCAACTGATATTCAGAACAGGAAGCACAAATTTAGTAACTTGAAATAAAATCGTTGATGTATATTACACTCAAACATGCAGCTAAACTCATTGAATGTACTAAAAATGACTAGAAGCCCTCATACAATACATTTAGCGAATGTTAAACACAATACTCTGCTAAACGATTTCAGTAGATTTGTTTAGAATGGATAAATTTTTGATCGCTTATCAGTATTCTTTAAATAGGTTATTTTATTTAGTCCCTTTAAGCAAACTGAAATAATTTATTTTATAAACAATGATTTAAACTTATATTTACATTAATAAAATAACTATGACTGGGAATACTCGTTTACAATTTTCATCAAGATAAACAAACTGGGCCTATTCAATTATGAAATTAAATTTATGAATCTGATATTTTTATTATTTTACCAAAAATGACGTCTGTACTCTACTTAGGAATAAATATTTATCCATTAGTTATATCTTGACTTAAGTAGTTTGTAATTATAATGATTAAAAGATCCAAGAGATTGCTAAGTATGTTTTCCTTCATCCGCATTAGAATAAGATAAAAAAACAAACGGAAGTCAAAATAAAATGGACGATCGTAATTTTAAACGAATTTTGAATGATGAAAGTGGTTGGCAGGAAATCTTTGAAATAAATTTAGTCTTCGTGAAACTTCTCGAAAATACTGTGCAATATTGATTAATTACTATGTATTTTTTAATCAGACATTTCCTGCACAATATTATGAAAGAATATTCTTTTGATCGTATTTGTAAGAGAAATCCTTTTAGTATGAAGGTAAAAGAAAGGAAATACGAAGCCTGAGTAACAATTCTTTGGTTTATTTATTTATTTTGAGATTATGGGAACGTTTCGTAACTTAAGCAGACAATTCTTATGAAGTTTCGTTCTCTGATATGAATGGTTTAATCGTGGAGTTTTCACTGTTCTTCTGAACAAACTTATCAGAATAAATTTCAGGTAGAAGTGAAGTATTCAAATTACTCTCTACATGACTGATAGATTGTCTTATCGACCTTGACTTCGGTTGGTTACTATTAACCTTTAACCTGTTGTTGTCTCCATTATTTATTTTGATTGTCTCGCCCGCTGACCTGATTCATGATCCTAAATTTTATGATGAGAATGAACTAGAACGTTCTATTATTATATTTTTATATAGTCCTAAATGTAAGATATCTCTTAACTCAACCGTTGTTGCTATACCTGTTTGCCGTCCACATAAACTACAGTCAATTATATATAAATTTACTAGTTAGCTTTACATAAAATTAATTAACGATCAACTAGTATTCGGCGGATTACCAGACTACTGAAAAGGACATAGAAAATATGTTTACTAATAACATTCTTGACTGTTCCATTTTTTAATATGCTGAAGCTTGGATTATTATCAATAGTTAGATTAATTTTTTAACAATTCTCTAAGAGATTAAAAACAATTATCAAAAGACATTAAACATATGGTCTTATTGTGAAAGATATTAATTCAGATATATCGGTTGTTGGGATCTTACCATTGGTGTTTAGGACTGCAGTTAATCAGTCACTTTTCGCATATGTGGATCCTATGCGGATTATCTTGATATTGCCACTAAGTCACATGCAATTTAGGCAGAGATAGTTGGTAGCTGTCGGTAGAACCCAGGATACCTCAATGCACAAACCAGTGGCTATCTGAACTCAGTGGCTAAGTGGATAACAAGATGGAGTTTGATGTGAACGGTACTGGGTTCAGGTCCCGGAGTGGAAATCAATTCTGGGATGTAGGTACATCAATTGACGGGTCTCAAATAAGACTAAACGTGAATCCTGGATTCCACTGTTAGTCACCATCCAAATCTACTTGAAATTTTAAAAAATTTTACTTAAAAAGCTTACAGTGTCTTAATTCATCACTGAACATTTTTCACATAAAACCTCATTAAGTTTCTTAGATTACTTCTATACAGTAAAAGAGATAACTCTCTTAGTTCTGGAAAAATAACAAGTTGCTCGAGATTTTAGAACAAGGCGACAGTAAAGAAAAAAGCAAAGAATTATCCAAAGTAATCAAGAAACTATGAATTAATTCGATGGTCTCAGTAAAAAAAGGTGATTGCACAAATGTTTTACACATATATAGTATGAGCATGTTCAAGTCGATTGTACTGGTGATGCTGTATGTACAAAGGTAAATTCCCAACAGATACAGTAGACTTAATGAGTTAATCATAATCAACGTATGACCTGCTTAAAAGTTTATAAGAGGAAACAATCTTGAATACAGTAAAAATTCCAACATGAGATGTAATTTCAAAAGGACAAACGAAATTATAGAATACTACCCGCGTAACGACGCCAAAACCAAAATTTAGAAAAGTGTAGAGAATGTGACATAATTATGGCTTATCGCAATAGTCAGTAATGGATCTCATGTAATTATACAGATCTGATAAAAAGAACATAATTGTTGTGACAACTAAATACGATCTCTAGCAAGAAAAGGAGTAGAAACTTAGTAAAACGTTAGTAAACATTATTGAGTCTTGATAATCAGTGATTATTTGAAATTCGACAATTCTAAACTCAAACAATTCAAACAAACTTCAAGCCTAGCAGTGGATATAATAGTCAAATATTCACCGTTTGTTGAGAACACCTAATAAAATCACATTCAACTCATATCCTTATATTTAATTCTATTGAACTACTAGTACTATATCATTTCATCATTCAAAACTGTCGAATAAATACATCAATTTTCAAATAGATTATAGCTCAAACGTTCTTGGTTGGACAACAGCTTATGGTAAACTACTATCAGAAATGGGTACATAGAATAATTTCGGTCAGAGAAGTTCAGCTACGTTTTACTGAATTATACAACGGAGATTAAAAATGTTTAACTGAAGGGTTTTATCGTTTACTAAGAGAATATATCATTGATTCAGTATCCAGATGAAATAGTTGCTTCATAAAGACATTGGTATAACTTAATCTTTGAAACAAATTGAACAATAATTACAGTGTAATAACCCAGAATCGACATACACCTGTCAGACCCTAATTCGTTTACAATCATCTATATATGATGAGCATCTGTTGCTCAACGAAGATAACCTTTGATTCACCGGAGTTTAGATCTATCAGTACAGTGACTGTTTAAAATTTTTGAGCCAACACAACGATCATACAAAATGTTAGAGTTATAGGGTTTAATAACGACTGCTCTAAATGGTGAGTTTATGGTAGGATTTGAGTTATATGTTTCATGTACACCTGTCTAAATTGGCGATTCCATTCGTTTTCAACTTTATTAATTCAGTTGCTATTACGTACCAATTTCGCGATTATATTAAAATATTCTCTGAAGTTAGAATGCTTTATTTATCCAATATCTGTTTTAGCTTTTGACTAGGTAGCCCACTTGTTCATTAACTAATAAAATAGATAGTATGAAACAAAACCCTAGCAAAATGAAATAGATACGACCATAATTCGTGAATAAACCATAGTTAATAAATTATACGCGGTAAATGCCGTAAAGTGCCTCCTAAATGAACTCCAAATCGAAAATACTGATTAATAAAAAAATGAAAATGAATCTCTTTAGAGATCTAAACAGTCGTCATCTATATTACTCTGTGGTACCCAGTTTTCCAGTAATCAAAAAATTAGACGTATATCTTAATAACTAGGGTAGAATAAGACTAGACGATCACCACATATCTCCTGAATGTCAAAAAGCTGTTTTTTTATACAAAACTAGTAACACCTTCGTTTAACTAAATACAATTTAATATTTTTATATTGAAATACGAATATATGATTATATACTCATCTTCTGTAGGGAAGGCGTGTGATAGAAATGTTGGTAATACTATAATATTAAAAGTCAGTAATCCGATGAGAATATTATCATATTTTGCAAAACAAAAGTTAATCAAATCTAATTATTCATTGATATTGGTAAAAACTGATGTTAAAAAGTAGGCAGTCATAAAAGAGCCATTAAATTCATATCCATATATGGATATTATAATATTTCAAAATAATACACAGTCAATACATGTGTATGTATAAAAAAAATTTCAAGTGAATGGGAAAGGAAAAGAGAAATATGTATGATCCGTTTATGAAAAGAATAATATGGAGAAAAACAAACTGTATAAATGTGCTGAAAAGTTACTACATACACAAAAAAAAGAAAAACAATCATTAAAATTCTTCATAATTATTACCACTTTAACTTAACATGTTTTAATAAATCCAACATAGAAATAAAGTTATAGCAACATTGACTTATTGTCTATCCAAATATGAAAGGTTTGTTGAGCAATTTCAAGGAGAAAGATGATAGAAATAATATTTTTTTTTAAAGAAGAAACTGTCAGCTAAATTTCACAAATGCCTCGATTTACATAATTATTTATATGTATATAATACTTATGTATACAAAAATTTTAAATGATACACTAAAAATAAACAAATAACAAATGTATTCATTGTTCAAGCGTTGCCTAAACTAGACTTGATTAAGGAGAACAGTTTATTCTTTATACACAACTACATATTTGTAGATTATTATTATTATTATGAATATATGCGGATGTATACAAATGTAGGAATTGGCTGCAGTTGAAAGAATTTTGAGCAGACTGATCAAAAAAAATTAGAATAAACAAAGGGAACTGTTCACATCTGGCTTTTGTTTTTACTGAGATCAAAGTGACATAATAAAACATCAACGCAAAATATCTCATACATTTACACATTTATTGGTAGGTAGAAAAAAAATGTTAATTACATCAACTACCAGAAATTTTTGAAAGATTAATGTGTACGTCATTATTGGGTAAATTATCCTGTTCATTTTTAGATGTGTTAGAAGTGTTGTTTTGTGGTAAATTGAATGAATTCTGTGATGCAGAAATGAAATTTGATGAGATGAATTGTACTTCTGTGACATTAGATGCTGGACAACAAGTATCTGATTGACAATTCTTGTTTGGACCACAATCCAACACACATGTGCGATAATCTGTATTTGCCATTGATCCTTCAATGTTCTGTAGAAAAAAATCAGAATAAAGTATCATTTATTGATCAAAATTTTAGATCATCCATAAACTTTTAGTGACAAATAGTTTTCCTAACGGCACGAATAAAATTACACATGCATTTCAACAGCGCATTACGACAGTACAAAATGTGTAAGCTTCATTTCTATTGAGAGCAAGTAAACAGTGATAATAAACCTTAGTTGAACCATTGACAATTGTTATATTGAGTGGAAAAAAACTTACGATCATAGTAAGGCAAACAGTCATACCCAAGAACCGGATCAAACTATAAACGAATACCTTATATTGCCATCATCTATGTAAGTGATATAACAAGTAAAAATCCAGTTTCATAGTTAAGTTGGGTATGATCGCTAAAAAATGTGCCTTACAACTGCCTATGTTTTGAAATACATGTAATTATATTTATAGTTATTATTATGTAAATTTACTGGAATCGAAATCCACTCTACTGACCGATTGTTTTATCTTTTTGTATCAGTTTATTGGGTCAGCAGTCTGGTCATGTGAGCAGTTATCAGTCGGGCACAATGTATCTTTGTGAAGTATTTACCGATCGATATTCCATGAGAAATTTTTACGAACGAAAGATGAGTACTTATAATTGACATTTGACTTTTATCACTTCTATGATTTCAACTAAAACGATTTTTATGGGTTTTTATTAATAGAATGAATAGAACAAGTTTAGGAAGTAAAATCCACAGTAATAATGAGCTACAAGAATATTAAAAAATATAACCAACAAAAACATATTATTTCGTTGTCAGATAGAAATTTGTAAAACCAGTCAGTTTTTTAACACTTATATGAACTTTATAACAGCTACTTGCCTTGAAAAAGCACGACAAAACAAGTCACATGTATTAAGAAAAATTTAGAAAATTACCTCTTCAAATTCCGGTTGTATTGTTGTACAGTGTATATTGAATTCGTGGAATAGTTGTTTCACTTCACGAGCAATACTTAAATAGTCCGCTTTATTAAACAAATATAATAATTAGGAGTAAAAACGAATAATGTAGATTCGTATTGAAGTGTTTGATTATATATATATATATATATATATATATATATACGAGTAAATTATTATTATAATTTATTATTTCATCTTAAAACCTCCTAGTGAATTTTAAAAAACAAAAAAACTTCATTCAAGATCTTCTGGTTACACCTATTGAATTAATCTGCTTGCACTAATAAACAGAATAAGTTATTGTGTACCAAAATACTAATAATATACATAATCAAAATATTTATTCTTAAGTATCTAATCAATTTTAAAATAATACTTTTTTATTGAATAAGTGAAAAGTGAATTCTCTTTGAAATGAATGGAAATAAATGTATTTCGTTGAGAATGATGATACTAAACTAAACGGCAAAAAAATGATAGTATTTGTAAGAAATATGAAAAAAACGCTATTACAAATAGTGTATTTTAAATGAACATGGTAGGGAAATGTCATATTTAGTAAACGGAATACACGCATTAAGACATTAAATAAGAAAGATTCGTTTAGCGAATTCATTGAAAATGAAAAGAGAACTCTTTGCCGAACTAATCTTTCTTAATTTCAATGGTTAAGATCATGAGTCACTTGAAGCTAGACCACCATGGAAAATCTGAAAGCACTGGATGGTCGTTTCGTCCTATTAGGGACTCCTCAGTAGTGCGCATCCACGATCTCGCCCCCCGCGAGATTCGAACACAGGACATATCGGTCTCATGCGCAAGCGCTTAGCCACTAGTTAAATGTTATATTAACTTATTACATTACAATCAAATAATGAACACTAGTATTTAAACTAAAATTATGTATTTAAGGAATGTTAGTTATTTAAAAACGCAAAGATTAATTTTATTTGATATGTGATTGCATAATACTATATCATAGCTTTTATTTTAACGATTTAACTTTATATTATTTTCCTTTTCGAAATCGACGAATCTTTGAATTTTTAAAATGTTTACGTTAATCTAGATGTTTACTTTTTGTATTAACATAGCATCTATGTTTTTGTCTGCTGACTGACATACTTCACTTTTCATAACATTATTCTTAATATTTCCCTACAAATATTGATAATAGTACGAATTTATGTTTTCAAACAGACGATAAATAACACCATATTTGACCAGTCTTTATTGGCATGTAAACTCTTTCAAAGAATGCCTTGAAGTTAGACGTAGCTAAAAATTGGTTATATTTTGGATAGCGAATAGCAATGCAATCTACATCATACTCATCAAGAAAGTTGACTGCTGAAGTGACTTAATAGCCTAGTTGGTAAAACCTTGGCTACTGGATTCGAGTGTCGATGTGAAAAACAAAACCAGATGATGAGGGCCAAACACAACAAAATCCGAGCGTTAAATCTCACTGCTAGTCACAATCCAAAAGGCCTATGGAAATCTTTCTTCATAAGTAATCTTACTACCTTTTTATTGAGTGAGTATTTTCTTGTCAAACTAATTAAAATGTCTGGATATATTTTGGATGAACAGATAATAACAATTACTAAAAAGTAAATAATTAAATTTATGACCCTCCAACTAACTGCTAAACATGATCAATTCAGATGACGTTATTATATTCCCAGTTTCATTTGCCTATATTAGCATATTTCTATATTTTTGTTCAATCATAATCTCAGAAAGAATTGGTTATCATAGAACGAAAGTCAATGATGAAGCCAGAAAGTGATTACCCGCATGCGAACCCGATTTATTGTCATATAATTGCTGAGAATGTCAATCAAACTAAGTCTCCGAAAGCATGATTATTGATAGATAGTATGTTTACAGTAATAACAATAATAGTAATAATAATAATAACAATACTATTAATCAAATTTGTGATTTTCACTAGACTTCATTAATGAGGTAAAAAAACAACTTGGCTTTATCAAATTTAAGCTAAGCAAACACTAATATTAGATGAATTTTTCAATTCACTAGTACAATACTGGCATGCAAAGAGAATGAAATAAGCACTTTTTGACTATATAGACAAAATACACAGTGTCTTTAGAACGGATAATCTATGACTCTTATGTATTATACACACACAAAGCTCATATCTGAAAACAGTTTCTGTCCTATCGTATATATATTAAACCAAATAAACATATCTACACTGAAAAAAAGGAAAATCATAATGACATAAGTCGACACATTTTGCAAAAGTACAAGGGAAAACCAACAAAATAGAAATATATTTAGAAATAGATCACCGTGATGAGTCTTTAAATGATAAATAAAACCAAGAAATTTAAGTCTGAATGTATGGCAAACAACTAATGGTACCAACCACTAAGACTAGATTTTAACGACGGAACAACAGGTATAACGAATATTAAGTGAAAAGTGCATTCAGCACTGGTACTGTGGAGTTCAAAAGATGAGAAATCCAATCACTGATATATAATTTTTAAAATAATCATTTTCATTTTATAGGCGCCACTGCTCCTATCTATATTAAAAATAAAGTTTTTTTGGAAATCCCACAAAACTTTCTTTTCTTACAATAACATGTTTTCTAAACATGTAATGAACCAATCAAATAAAAAAAATAATTCGACTCGTGCCACATCAAACAGTTGCCAACTATAGGTATTAACGTATATGATTGATTTCTATTTTCGAAATGGCCCAATCAAAATTGTTGGATCCTAGAGAAAGGTATTGTCGTTGACTTTATCCGGAAGTGAGGGTAGTAAGATGTTTTCCTTAAAAAACCATCATCTACAGTGATGTTGCTTTTTTGCAACGGGAGGATAGAGATTACAAAATGTAGACCATCAAAATAGTACATCTCCCCTTACCTTACAAATTTCCATCATTGGCGGTAATGCCTTTTGAAGTACGGAACTAGCATGCCAAAAACTACCTGTAGAAAGACAATCTGTGACCAACCGCAAGCATTTGTTTCTTGAGCTTCTTGGTCACACATCCAGGCCCTCGAAACTACCCCTACACCACTTTTATTGTCAGGTATATCAAGAAAAATTATCCTTCCTCGATGTTGACAGCGGGAAGTGACAACAGCCTTTAAAATTCCAACAGCGCTTCAGATCACCTTGTCCAAAATCAAACTTTATTTTTGTGTAGTTTTGGTTAATGTGCACTTTGCAAGCGATAATTGTTGAGTCTAATCATGTGTAAAAACCTTAAGAATAGCTGGATTAAAAAGTGCCATTAGGTCATAAATTTATTGCTTATTCATCTTAGTCAACTGAAAAAAATTTCTGAGTTTTAGTTTTATCAACATCATCCAAAAACTAAATTACACAATTCATTCTTGACAATAAAATTATAAATTGAAGAAGAAATAATTCTCTCAGTCAGTCAGTCAGTAACAACGTCGAACTTCGTACGTACGTACATAAGTTCGAGTTGCCACACCACATTAGCATAGAGATGCAGTGGTCGATTCAAATCCCGTAGTAGTAGAGGTAATAAGAGTATAAGCAGTAATCAGGCAAATTAGTGTTTGGAGATGTTATTTAAAGAGTATAATGCAGTGAAATAAATTTGGGAAGAGAAAAAAGGAGACAAGGAGGAATAAGGAGATCAAAATTTGGGAGAACACAAAGAGTGTATGCACCTGCGCCATTACAAACGATTTTGAGCCATGTCATTCAGGGTCTCTAACCATCGGTTGCTATCATCTCGCGGTCCCCAACCAGGTAGTCTACACCTACTGACATGACTCAGACCATTTGTCAGTGACTTCATGGACGTGCCATAATTTGGTCTGGCCGCCCCTAACTTTCTTCCAACCTACTCCTATACTACTGAACATCGCACGTCGAGGCAGTCGGTGGTTGGGCATACGTAACACATGTCCAAGCCATCTCAACTGATGAAGTTTCACTACGTCATCAATGGATTTGCCATCCTTACCTAGTACCCGTTTCCTAACAACTGCATTACTTACTCGATGGTCCCAGGATATACGAGCAATATTTCGAAGACACCTATGATCAAATACTAGTAACCTACGAATATCCTCTACTCTTACCGGCCATGTTTCACTGCCATAAAGTAGGACGGAACGAACTGCTGCACAGTAAACCCGTCCTTTGGTTGATAGACGGATATCTCGCCTACGCCATAAATGACGCAAATTGACAAAAGCTAATCGAGCCTTCTGTATCAAACAACTGACGTGTAGAAAACGTTTAGATTAAAATTGTTAGGTTGAAATTTATTGGATCGAAACGAGTTGAATTAAATAATCACGACGTTGCATAAGCCAGTCACCCCCCACAACTACTTGAAAAAGGAATAAAAACTGTGACCACTAGACCAAAGTCAAAAATAGTTAAAAAGAATAAAATGGTCACAAGTAATAAAAATTCATCTAATGTTTTTAGATGAACAACAAGATACATCTTATTTCACTCTATTGATACTTTTATAAACGTCAAAAAAGTACAACATAAAAAAGCGCATGCAGTGAGCAACATATCAACACTTATTACTAATTAAATTAAATCAAGTCATTAGATTAAAAGGAGACGTGAGAAATCGAGAAGCAGAATGCTACACCAGCAGGCTGATTGTTTACTAGTAGTAATAGTAAGATTAGCATCAATTATCCTTACTTACTCATTGTTTCTATCTAACCGAATAGAGTTTATATACACAGATTAAGAAAAAAGAAAGTAGGGACAAATACTCCATTAGCAGACAAATAAACAATGTAAGAAGGATTATGATTGTCATTTTCATAATAAAACCTAAGCTCCTTACTATAAATGTAAATAACGTTTACCAAGAACCAAGATTAACAGATAATAATAGCTTAGTTATATGTTAAGAGATACACACTGTAAAAGTAGTGAACTACTTCTAACCAGACTATGAGATCAAAAAAGTATAGACTATTTAAGCTTGATACATAAATAACATTTATGTAGTTCTTATCATTAGACAATAAATCCGGTCCATAATTCCACATTTAACCAACGATCAACTACAGTACTGTTTGTTCACATTTTTATTATTTCCTTCATTAACATTATAACTTGGGCTAAATCATACACTATTCGAGAACTCCGCTAATTACATCTTCCGATTAATCAAATATGCAAAGCGACAAACATGTCTGAATGTCTTAATACTACACGGGCGTTCTATAGACAAATTTACACAATCCAACTCAGAAATAGATCTACGAACTTTCTCCATACTATTTTACACTATATATATATATATATATATATATATATATATATATATATATATATATATATATGTATATATATATTATATATTATATATATATATATATATATATATATAGCAGTGTCAGTAATGATAAAGACTACAAATTAATGTCGACGGTTGAGAAACAAGTATACCTACAATATCATGTATATTAGAGCAAACCTGTAGGACGTAGATTTCCAGCCACTAAACTAGCATCTGCAGAGAACGAAAACGAATTAAAGCAATAAAAATTCCAATTTCTTATTATCATCTCTCAGTTAACCAAATTAAACTTTCTACAAAAACAAACAATATTAGTTAAACAAAGTTATAATTAAAGTATGTTTCCAAATTAACAGTTTGAATTGTCAACAATGTAAAAAGTAAGTTTTAATCAAACGTAATTAGAAACATAAAATGCAGCAAACGGAAAAAAAACTTTAGAAGCATACATATAAACTTACGTAAGCTAACGCAACGAATGTGAACAGTACCAATAATACAGTTGCTTTGTAAACGCCATACATGCAGATCATGAATTTTATGAATTCCATCAATCTGAATTTCGAAGTAGCAAACAAAAGTAGTTGTTATGTTCAAAATACTAAAAATATCAACCAGTTTCGAAAAAAAACACGTACTACGATAGAAGTGTGAAATCATCTCCATTATGTATAAGTAAACATGTAAATTGTGACAGTAAATGCATGAAACCGGTAGGTAAGATAAGGTAGATGACTTGTAAAAAAGTATGAAGGTTCAAGCTATCACACTTCAATTAGTAGAAACAGGAAAGAGGAGTGTGTAAAAAATATACATTGGTTTAGCTAAATAATTTTCTTAAACTCTGAAATCAACTTGCACACGTTTACACGCTAATGTGAAAGTCCTTGGATGAAGTGAATCTTTCCCGCAAAATATGGGACTCTTTATGTGCCACTTATAAAGGTAAAGAATTTCAAGTACGTCAAATTAGGCATTTCAAATGTAAAAACTACATTATACCCAAGGAACAGACAATAAACAGTTTTTTTACATTTTTGAGGTTCAAAACAAGACTATAACACTGAAAGGGTGGCTAATTAATTGATTCTTAAACTAAGTAAAAGAAATATCATAAAACTATATTCATGATAATCTGAACTCCGAATACGGATATGTTTTGTTAAGAACGCTTAAGAATAAACGTGGGACAGTACAAACGAACGTCTCCCACAGTTAACATGTATAACACTAGCATAATGAGATGAAATTAACAAGACGAAGTTCAGATGATAGCAAAAAAATAAACATTGAAAATATAGTACCAAAGAAATGGAAAGCATAATGTAGTATTAAAATCCAAAACTGACAGCAAAATGGAGTGAGTACTGAATAACCGAGTATTAGATATGTCACCTAAGGTCTTCAATCATAGATGCCCATCTAGTGATCGCTATCAGTCACATATAGGTACTGTATAATACTGTCTTTTATAAGTGAAGTTTTATGAGAATACCATGAAAATAACAGTCTCCCAAATTAAAACGAACTTCACATCAGCATGTGTAAGATACCAGTTCAGAAACACATAAACATTCGAAAATTCTACATCTGACAACAATAATAGTAACCATATGAGATGATTAGTCATAAAGGTACGGGTTCCACCCATTCCCGTTTTATATGTACCAGAAATTTGGATTATAGAAAATTAAAATAACTCAGTAAATTGTAAGCTAGATCGATTTCCGTATAGTGTTGTGGAAAAATTATTCAATTTTAACAGGCTCAATCAGTAAAAGATAATATTGGTAAGATTAGATTACACTACTCTATATCCAAAATAACATAAAGTCAGTGTATAATCGACAAATTAACTTACATTTTCCATACGAGTCTTAAGATTTGTTAAACAAATCTCACTAGGAACAGATTGTAGTAAAATTAATGTAGCTTTATACACTAATTGAAAAGAAAACGAATTCAAAGTAGAAAAGCAAGTTAATTTACCAGGTAAATCGTGAAATGATTTATTTCAAATTCATAGAAAAAAGATTACTGAAACTGACGGTAAAACAAAATTTAACAAAATGAGATCGTAACAAGTCATCAGTAGTGCATATACCAATAATACTAAGATTTTTTGGGGGATGCTAGATCCACAAAAATCACCTGGTAAACATCTTATTCCTACAGTTTTATTTTTAAAATTTGAAGTTCTTATTTTTGAGCCCAAACCGCTCATTTTTACCACCAGATTGTACTTCCCACTTAGATGGACCTTGATGTAATTGGTTCGTTTCCTCTTTAAATAAGTTATTCTTTGACTTGTCTCTAGAACATTTTTATACTGTATATATATGCTTGAGTTGTGCGCTTTTTTGTTCGTGTTTCTGGCTGCTTGTGGAATATACATTTCCCTCGGTTGAATCTGGTCTTCACCTTATATTTAGCAGAGCTGGGGCGCAGTGGAATAGTTTATCCTGTCCTGTTGTTGTGTTTCTGACCTTCGTTTCGTTCGCCGGTTTTAGGTGATATCGTAATCTCTTCAAACGTGACAGATTCATATTAAAATAAATTAATCAAATAATTTTCTGATTTTAAATAAAGCCAGAACAAATATTGATGCAGAATAATAAGAATTCGTGGTTTCTCATTAGCTGTTTACAACCAAATATGTATTAGAATTTTACATTGAGGTAAGAAATATCAATTGTTCCATACTATTTCTTAACTCGATATAAAATTGTAATACATATTTGGTTGTAAGCAGCTAATGAGAAACCACGAAATATAATTAATTCATATCATCCTGAATCAATGTTTGTTCTGGCTTTATTTAAATTCACTAATGGAACCAATTGTATGAAATTTTCTTGTTATTGTCTTTTGTTGATTTGCCGTGTTACGGAGAACTTTGGTAACTAGGACTACTATAAAACACCATTCGTGCGAGAATTTCACAACTTTGGATTCATGCGTATTTATTAAGAGAAGTGGAAGTATGGGATAAAGTCGTGAAAGTTTATGCGATGTGGATATATATATATATATATATATATATATATTTCTTGATTAGTGTTACTTAGTTGTATAAACCTAGATAAGGGCAATTAGAATCGAATCAAGTACCCAATAGCAGCGAGAATAACGAATTAGACCAATCAAATACACCTGTAGTAGGTTACGTGATGCTCGCAGGGATGCTAGAGATCAGCATAGGATAGATAAAAATGACCTAATTAATTAATATTTAATGAACTGATCGAGTTTTATGCTCACGTTACGAAAGCTATAGTACAATTCAGTTGTTTACGTCAAATATTTCGTAACAACCAGCGTATAATCGTCGAATATAATAATAAGCAGAGAATATAAAATAGACTGAATTATCACACAGGCTTATGAATCATAAGTAAATCGATACATTAATTTGATAGCAATCGCACTGCCCTAAAAATTGGTGGTATCTTATGTCAGTCTTAAAACAATAACAGCTACTGATAACTGTTTTAAAACTATCAATATAATTGGACAACAGGTATCAGGATTGTGGATAGGAAAGTGAGTAAATTCTTTCACTAATCGTGTAGCAGGTGTAAATAGTTAATTAAAACCATTGCAATAATGTTTTTTTTTCTTTTTAAACAATCTCCTATCATTCTAAATAGCTTTGAAGGCGACAAAGTTTAATAGTTATCTAAAGTTGACAATAATAAGTTTGTGGATATACTCAAGCACCAGTAAAAAATATCAACCATGAATCCAAACAGGATAGTAAGTTAGTCGAATATTAATTGAAAAAGCTAAACGCTCAGCGGTTGTAATCGTACCAGGCAATTTGAACGTCCGGATAGGCAAAATAAATACAGCTGAAAGATATTTAAGTGGGTTTTTCTGCGTCTCAGCTAATAAAAGTAACCGTCTATTGCAATCTTTTATTACTAGTAAGCACCAATCGTAAGCACACAGAGACATCGTCTAATGTGGCCACCTTCAACATATGATCAAAGATAGATACAAATAAGCAACATTGCCACCAGCCATTTCGAAAGAAGCTCAGCAGAAGATTCCCGCTCGTTTCGGAGCACATCTGTAAACTTTGGCCGTGGTGTAGTACGAACACGCGTTAGTCTTATTCATAGTGAACGGAAAGAAACTCACAACAAGAAGACTCGTCAAAGTTCAACATCAGGATAGAAAGACTAGCAGCATATTCCAGAGACAATTAAACCCGACCGAAGCTGCTACCTTGACGCGGTGGTCAGGCTTGCCTATCTTAATGACCCAACCGAGCTACATTGGCTGGAACATATGTTCCTGTAGGTTCTACCATGCCAGGCAGGTCGATTGGCGAACGGTAAGACTAAAAGCAGCAACTCAAGGTCTGAGGGCGAAGTCGTACTGCTGACTGTAGAGGGGTGTGACAGCAGTAATGTGTTTCCCTCAGACAACCAGCATCTACAACGATGCTGCCTTCCCACAAGGAGGGGTAGGGTTAGAAAAGGTCAACCCTAAAAATGTCACACCCCACTTTACCTCACGGATTTCCGTCTCCGGCGGTAAGGCCCTCTGAAGAACGGAGCTAACACATTAAAATCCTTCCACGAAAAGGCCGTGCACGACCGGCCTCAAGCAGTTGTCCCTTGGGCTCTGCGGTCACGCTCCCAGGTCTTTAAGACCAACACTAATCTAATTTCCTTTTCAGGTTCCTCAAGAAATACCCTTCCACGGTGTGGGCAGCCGGGAAGTGATATCAGCCCTCATACCCGTAACAGCACACGAGGCCAAGTTGGTCACATTCAAATCCTTCCTACACCTTCTAATACCTCTCTCATCTCCATAAGGAAAAACATCTTTTAACATGGAGACCCCCTGATTCATCCCAATGTTGGACCCAAATAGATCACATCGCCATCAACCACCGATGGAGGAGCTCGATAGAAGACTGTCGCTCATTCTGGAGCACATGCTTAGATTCAGATCATGCTCTAGTACGAGCGCGTACCCGTCTGCGTCCTACTGAACATAGGAAAGACGCTGCAAGTAAACCTCTTAGGGCCCTACTTAATGATAGTCAAGCTAAGAGTATATTTCAGGAACAACTAGGAAAACAGTTAGGCAGCCATGTATGTGATGCCCACCACAAGGCAGCATGGAATGATATCCGAAAAGCTGTGGAAACAGCAGTGATATCTGCTAGTAAGGTAAACCACAAGGTTAGGGAGCAACACTGGATCTCAGCAGCATCTATCGCACTGATAGATGCTCGGAAACTCATTCCACCTGGCTCTGAATATAATGAAGAGCGGAGTCAGCTTAAGCGCAAGCTGACAAGAAGTCTACGCGATGATCGTGAACAGTGATGGGTAGCGAAAGCAAGAGAGATGGAAAAGGCAGCGGCAATAGGTAATAGCAGACAATTGTTCAGACTCGTTAAGGAAACCGGTATTAAGAATCCAACTGTTAGCGAAACAATCTCAGAGAAAGATGGACATACATTCTTAATCCCGGAGATTGGATCGATGGGCAGAACACTTTAGGGATCAGTTCAACTGACCTTCAGCCACACTTCGGTTTCCCACGATCTCCAGTCAACCTGAATGGCAAGTTAATATAGGTTCTCCGTCTCTTTACGAAGTTGAGAAAGCCATAGGAAATCTGAAGCGAAGAAGAGCAGCAGGCCCTGACAGGTTTACTCCTGAGATTTTTAAGGATGGTGGTCCAGTATTAGCAGTGAGATTAACTGAGATCTTAGGTAGAATTTGGGAACTGGACGTAATCCCATCTGACTGGTCTCAATCACTGATTGTGCCAGTCTATAAGAAAGGAAAAAGTACTCTTGTGACAATCACAGAGGAATCAGTTTGCCTAATATAGTGTCTAAAATATTAGCTTCAATAATACTTCGACGCCTAACTAAAGCTCGTGAAAAGCAGACTAGAGAAAACCAGGCCGGTTTTCGACCTGGACGTGGTTGTATAGACCAGATATTCACAATACGTCAGGTTCTAGAACACAGACATACGTTCAGACGCCCCACAATCGTAGTATTTCTCGACCTTAAAGCAGCATTCGACTCTGTTGATCGTAAGGTTCTATGGAGGTGTTTGTCACTTAAAGGAGTACCAAAGAAGTACATTAACCTTGTAAAGGCTCTCTACTCGAACACAACTGGTAGAGTGAGAGCTTATGGCGAACTGTCATCAGAATTGATTACCTCAAGTGGTGTTCGTCAGGGCTGCCCACTCTCTCCATTCTTGTTCAACTTTTACACTGACGTACTTTTAGAGATAACACTTTCCTCGTCTAGATTTCCAGGGGTTGAACTTCTACCGGAAGGTTCACTTGTTGACTTAGAATATGCTGATGACATAGTTTTATTTGGTGAAGACGCTGAGAAAATGCAGAGTCTTATGACCACTCTGAGCAACAATGCAGGCATGTTCGGGATGCGATTCTCCCCCTCGAAATGCAAAATGTTGCTTCAGGATTGATTTGTATTGACACCCGAACTAATGATAGGGAGTGAAGTAGTTGAGCGTGTCGATCGCTTCACTTATCTTGGAAGTCTCATCAGCCCTTGTGTTCTGGTGTGTGACGAAATCTCAGTACGGATACAGAAGGCTCGACTAGCTTTTGTCAACTTGCGTCATTTATGGCGTAGGCGAGATATCCGTCTATCAACCAAAGGACGGGTTTACTGTGCAGCAGTTCGTTCCGTCCTACTTTATGGCAGTGAAACATGGCCGGTAAGAGTAGAGGATATTCGTAGGTTACTAGTATTTGATTATAGGTGTCTTCGAAACATTGCTCGTATATCCTGGGACCATCGAGTAAGTAATGCAGTTGTTAGGAAACGGGTACCAGGTAAGGATGACAAATCAATGGATGAAGTGGTGACACTTTATCAGTTGAGATGGCTGGGACATGTGTTAGGTATGCCCAACCACCGACTGCCTCGACGTGCGATGTTCAGTGGTATAGGAGTAGGTTGGAAGAAAGCTAAGGGGCGGCCAGACCAAAACATGGCACAGATCCATGAAGTCACTGACAAGTGGACTGAGTCATGTTGGTAGGTGTAGACTACCTGGTTGGAAACCGCGAGATGATAGCAACCGATGGTTAGAGACCCTGAATGACATGGCTCAAAATCGTTTGTAATGGCGCAGGTGCATCCACTCTTTGTGTTCTCCCAAATTTTGATCTCCTTATTCCTCCTTGTCTCCTTTTTTCTCTTCCCAAATTTATTTCACTGTATTATACTCTTTAAGTAACATCTCCAAACCCTAATTTTCCTGATTACTGCTTATACTCTTATTACCTCTACTACTACGGGATTTGAATCGACCACTGCATCTCTATGCTAATGTGGTGTGGCAACTCGAACTTATGTACGTACGTACGAAGTTCGACGTTGTTACTGACTGACTGACTGAGAGACAATTAAAAGCACTTATTCAATCATTAAATAGGTGTTCATCCTGAAGCAGCTCTGTGCAATATCCTAACGGCTTTGAAGACGGCAATAATATCTATCAGTCAATAAAATCAAAATGTGGAAAAAGATCAGTGATCTTTAGTGGTATCTAGTGAAATGATAGATACTCAACAACTTCTGTCAGGCTTTAAACACAAAGAGAAATTATATACGAACCGAAGAAAACTAAACGAGTAAATAAAAACGAATGGAAAAGGGGACAGCGACAGGTAGTAATAATCATGTTAATGATAATAACAATGATAATAATAATATTTCCTGACTTGGAAGCACCATCCAACTCCTCCTCGACTGAGGCGCCTGGTACATACGTTTTGTATGTCCAACAATTGTCTACTCTGACATAAAATGCTGGTTGGTGTGGGCGTAAATTTGATGGGAGCTAGAAGGTCTTTAACCAGTCTTAGATCATGAGTTCTAAAATTGTTTTATACCCATTCTTTTTTTAAAATCTGTTATAACTCTTTCTTCTTACTTGTTATGACCCAGCTATTCCTATTGCTTAGTATTCTCGGACACCGATTCACTCGACAAGTCCCCAAATCAAAACACGGTTGAACAGGAAGAGATTATATTCCAAATAACAAGGTTAGATGGAAGTAAGAAGCAAGTCAGAAGCACAATAGGGAAAACGTCAGTATATTTATAGTTTTTACATAAGAAGATTCCAGAGTATTCTCCAACTATCGACTAGTGCTGATTGGATAAGAATTAGCCAATCAGCGTGCACCAAAGCAATCGTGCATTGAGCATGCTTTAATCTAGTCTATGTCCCGCTAACAAAATCATATTCGCTACCTATTTTTCTATTATCACTGACACTACTACACATATTACTATGATACTTGTCATGATAATTTCATTTCATCATACTGATATGATATGGTTACATGAGCCGATACACATTTGTAACGGACTCTTATCTCACTTATCACTGACTTACCAACTAAGTTCAGAACGGAATGATTCTCATAAAAAGCTATCTTACAAAGAACGAAGAACCTGATATTATAAGTTTTAATATATCAATATTTTATTGCAATTCTTGAAGGAAATTCACTTGGAAATTTAAGACGTTACGAGTATAAGTAGTTTAAATTATTATAACTATATGGTACAAGAAAATACTTAAAGTAGTGTGACATCATGTAACAAATCTATAAGTTCGTTCAACAGCTGGTCTCAATAACTAGTGTTCTAAGAATCCTATTATCTTGAGGCTGGAACGTTGTATACACGAAAAATGGACCCTGATTGGAAAAGAGCTTGTTCGCAGATACTGCTTTCATATTGTAACCATACGTCATCAGATTTAAAGACCTTTAAAATACAGATGGGACTTATACTAAAAGATAAAACTCCTTAAATATTATTCATGTCTAGGTGATACAGTGTAAATAGGAGTAATAAATCAAATCAAAATAAATTCTCATATGAATAAACATCTTATATTTTGACCAAAAAAGTAGTATATAAGTCACCATGATCACAAAATCTAAAGAGTGATTGCTAATATTATTTAACAGAAAGATACGTGAGAGACAATATAAATAAATCTGGTAAATACACAAAGATTATAGTATGTCAGTTCGATAACATTCAAACATAATTACTATGCATAGTTTGCTTAGTGATATGTTTTAAAGAAGATATTGGCACATCAATAGTAGTTTCGCATAAGAGAATAAATGTACGTGATAATGTACCAAAAATATTTGGAAATCCAAGGTACGAAGTCCTAAACTCACCAAATATCTAATAATTTTCGAATATCATGTCAATAGGCTATGTGTTGCGCGATTTCTAACTAGTTTATCTTATCTAATACTTACACATACTACAAAACATTTCACTAGATCGAATAAAACGGTCACTATTGAGAAATTATTTAATTTTTTTACTATCACCCAGTTTGCAGATTATGACAATCCAACAGATCAGAAAATCTAGTCTTGTCAGTAGTTGTCGATTACCATCATCCTGTCATTTTAGTATCGACACTTTACCATTTAATCAGTCATCCCTACAAACTATGATTTTCATAAGCTTCACAAAAGTACAAAAAATAAAACTGAAGACTTACTGAGGGGTATAGCAGTAATCAAGATTATGGTAACCATGAGTATGCTAAACAATTTAAAATATAGAAACAAAATACACAAAGAACTTATAAATGCTCAAAAAAGTTGACTACTCAAGCGTCAAATTTTTAAAAAAATAAAACACTCTACTTTGATTATCCTATGAAACAAAACCCAGGAATTGGTCGAAATGATGATATAGTAGGCAATGTAACTAAGCAAACTATTCAGTTAATACGTCAAGCTGTAGTAACTATATGATATTACTATCCATAGGATTAATTATTATAACCAATGTCTAAAGATTGGTTAAAGTTTATACAATTAAATGGAAGATCACTGTAACAAACCGCCATTTATATTGTTTTAAATGTTACTGCAAAAATTTTATTGAGAAAGAGCTAATTTTAGAACTGTCATAGTATCCCAAAACCATTTTAAAAACTAACCAAGATAACTAGGACATTGTCATAAATTAACCAGTCACTATTAACGTGATAGTAGATGGTAACAAAATTATCTTTCTCATTAGCGATATTTCACCAAGCATGTAATATTTTTCAAATTTTAGAACGAGAATTATTTGTCTCAGGATAACTAAACAGCTTTTTTACTGTGAAGAAACTTAAAACCATTTCTAATTAAGCCGTTCTTTCACTTAATGGTAGAACAAAATACAGTTAATCGATTTATAAAGTCACAACTTACGATTATAATCTAAACATACAAACAGATTGTATTTAATGTTATATTTTGTTAAGAGCCATCTTTCGCCGAAAACATGAGATTTACTCTTCGTCAGAAAAATCCATGAATACAACATGGTAGTAAAATAACCAAAAACTAACAGATAATTTGAATTTGTCGGACCATTCAAAAGTAACGAACAGTACTAATCATCATTGACCCAATAAAGCATCCCTAATACCATCAGTGAGGCTGTACTACTATATTGAGAACGCAATAACAATCCCTTTCTACCGCTAGGAGTCGAATCGGTAATTATTATGATCCTATTTATTCATATACTACTCCTTATTTTTCGGTCGATCTCAACTTTATCCTTTCACGCTGAATATCCAATAATTCATAGGATTTTAAATATGGTTTTTACAATAAAATTAATTTTGCAGTCGATATGTTTGATATTCCGGACAAGACACGCAGAGGCGATAATAGGCCAAGTGAAAAGTCTGGAATTCTTCGATTATTTAGAAGGCAAAGTAATGGCACAATGAAAAAGTGTGGAACAAATTAATGCAAATTATGATGAGCTAACAAATAAAAAAGGTAAGAGCTAGTACAGTATGGTCACAGATGAACTGGTTTTCAAAGCCAAAACAAATAGAATGTTAAACTAGTGCTAATGTACCCAAAGCTAACCAATTAACCTAACATCTTTAAATGTGCTATGGTGCTGGGAATTAGTTGACTGTATATTGATATTTTTAAGCAAAAAGTAAATGAAAAATTTGTCTCACTGTAAAAGGTGCTAAACGAATTAGGTTGTCATTTTGGTAATAATATTCTGGAATCAAGCCAGAAGATTTATCAAAAATGGCAAGACATCGACAATCAAAATAAGACTACGTTAATTTCAACGATAGATTGTACTGAGAAACGTTTTAAAAGGATGGGGAACACTAAGTACTGTGTTTAAAACATTCCTTCAGGTACGCATACAGTAATTTAATACATAGTAAACTCCATACATTTTATTTGGTTGTGATAGAGATTCCCGGTCAGTTAGTCAGTCAGCAACAACGTAGATTCCCGATAAAAGTGAGAACATACGACTTCGTATACAAAGGGATGTGACATACATCTAGTGGGTGAGTTATTGATACTATACTTTTTATTAGACTGATGGTGGTTTCAATTTCGTGTGATTTCGAATAAATTGTGAAGTAAAGTCTTACCGTTCTTCACGAAACTAAATGTGGCAGAAACAATTGACGTAATGGAACAATACATTTCGGTAGAATTTAATATGGAGTCGCCACAGAGCATTGAGACCTATAGGTTAAAAACAGTAGTTACACACGTGTGCGCTAGTCCTTCGTCTTCTTACCTTCCTTTATGCTGCTTAATAAACCCCTCATTGATATATTCCTATTTCTAAAGTGTAACAGTATACAAATAGCTTGGTATCGACACAACTCAAACAAATTTCTTAAATTCAACGTTTTTCTTCCAAAGCAATAGAACTTACCTCATAGATGGATCAATATACAACTTCCATAATGCTTCACCTTTGGAAACCTCACCGGGGACTAACAATAATACAAGTGCGCTGACTACTACGATAACGGAACCCATGAAATCAGCCAACACATGGAGAAATACGGCTTGCATGTTCATTGAGCTTTTATGTGCTAAATTTTTGAGTAGATAATGTGAAAAAACACCAGGATTTAACTGAGCGCTTTGTTAAAAAACAAGGTATTCTTAAAAAGACCGAGTTAAATCACCTAAACAACTGACTACCGTGACAAGTTCTCATTTAGAAACAAATAAACTAAGGTTGTGTTACAGTGAGTGTATCATACGTTCCTTAGGTGGATGAGTTACTTCATCAATATGGACTTATTTTAACACTGCATGTGTAAGTTACTCAACACTAATCGAGACAATAAAAACCGAATGCTTATAGGACTACTAGAGATTTGACAGCTCTGTCGCCGACGTGGACTGGGTCACCTAGTCATTTTTACTCATAAAGTTATTTCTATTGAAATCAATTGGAAGAAATATTTAGATATTTAGAGTACATTTAATGCGCTCCAAACTTCCAAATACAAACTTAATCAAGAAGTATTAGAGTTTGATCTACACATTGCAATAAAAAGATGAAAATGAAAGTTAATCTAAAGACTTAAAGATGTGATGATCATAGTGTACACAATCAACTTACACTTTTTCGAGTGATTATGTTTGATTTTAATAGCAACCTTTTGTTGGTTGGTATCAAGTTGTGATGCCTCAAAATTATCCTGTTGGTCCTTATCGGTAAAACGTTGTAGGGCATTACCATCCATTATATCATACACATTGTTCACTCCTGAAATGGGCTGTGTCGAATTAACTTGTAAAAAGGCTTCATCAGTATTATTTAATGGCAAAGTAGTACCGAAGGCTGTTGGTGTTAGTGATGCCTTAAAAGCATTTGAAATAAACGACAAAAACTTCAAAATTAAATACTTAGCAATAGCTCAAAAACGAAATATATCAAAATTTATAGGTCTAATCCACGCTTGATAATGGTAATATTTATCACAAGAATCTTCCGTATATGAAATTGACACTCGTAAAATCATAAGTACCAAACGGTTTTTATGTTTGTTAAACAGTGAAACTTAAAACCTTGCTTTTAGACACTTAGTAAATCAAGAGTGATTTAAAACGCCGAATGTTACCCGTGTGAAATATATACGTTTGTTACTCCAGATCATCCATGACGAGCTATATTTTATAAGGAATGAAAATGTTACTCGACTGTCAAGTAAAAACCAACTATTGACTTGTTAATTCAGGACGCAAATGTAGATTGAGAACATATAAGAATCGTGACCTACTGGTTAAAATGTTTAGTGCCACAAAATCGAGTCACACGCTTACTTAAATAACCACTAACTTAAATAAAATGTACTTCATAGCAAGGAGTAACAACGAAGGCGTGAATACTGACATAAATCCGTAGATGAAAATGCGTAGAACAAATTCAGTGGTGAATCCTTCTAAAAATGTTAGTGGAACAAAAATCACCTAGGGTCACCATTTCAATGACCCTAAGATAATTACCCCATTAAAATTAGACCATAAAAACCTACGGGTCGAACTACGATTCGACACTTAAAATGCAATTGATACTATATATCTACTATTTGATTTCATTGATTGGCCCATAATCTAAATGCTTCCTCTATATAAATTCATCTTAAAAGTAACATATAATCTCATGATATGACAACAATGATAATGACACACATTGTCATTTACTTGTGATAGATAAACAAGTCAATTTCTGAAACCTTTACTGCAAGACATTAATTTCCTGACTTCCAGATTGAAAAATAAACTCAAACCCATCATCTAAACATACTTAACCACCCATAAGACAAATATATGATGCACAAAATACCCAGATGTAACTTACGTCTACCGCCGAATCGATTCCGCCATGCGAACCCTCATGTGAATGACCGCCAAGAACAATAAGTCCCAGTATGTTAACCAGGAGACCTCCACAACCAACATATACCATCATTTGAGGACTTTCAATTGCCTGAGTCTCAATAAATCGTTCAATGGCCCTCAAAAGAATAGTCATGCATAATGTAATTAAAACGACCGTGTTGATCAAACTGCCCATCACTTCAGCTCGCTGCCATCCAAAAGTATTTCTAGACGACCGAGGCCATTTGGCTATCTGAGATGCTACGATTCCAATTACCAAAGCAAGACAATCAGATAACATGTGAAACGAATCTGCGACCAGAGAGATAGAATGTATAGAAATTCCAACGACCAACTCGACCAGGAAATAAATTATAACAAGCACTAGCATAAAGATTAGCCGAGTTGTATTTCCACATGACACACTCATGACGTTTCTGGCGTTAAATTTCGAAAATCAAAATACAATAACGAACAAAACTCAAGCTAGGTAAGACACATGCAACAAACAGGTTCTTGACAAACTAATGGACGGACCAAAGCATGCGCCTTTACGGAGTTGATACTCTTAATCAAACAAATAAAACAAAACGTTTATGGTGAACAAGTCTACAGAATACACCAACATATCCGAAATAGTGATAGTTTAATTTTAAAAAATAAAACCCGAAAAAGTGATATTCATGTGAAGTGACCAGACTTAAACATTTTTAAATTTCAGGTGAGGAGACGGAAAGGAATTGTCTTTAGAGTTTCGCATCAGTAGATAGGTTGGCTAGTAGCAAACCCCAATTGTCACTGTTTATCAGAAACCACAAGTTTGGATAGGGAAAGGGACTTTAACCTCGTTTATGGTAATCCTATCCTCAAAAGTTAAGCTCATTAAAGAATGAAAATTGTGTATTTTAATTTTTTCCATAACATTTCATACGAGTGCTTTAGAAAGAGTATATAAGTTTTTTTATTACTTTAGCCATATATACATCCTTCAGTATTACGATATCCGACTGTGTATAAGTAGAACCTGTAGTGGTATCGGTTCTCAATCACAAGAGACCTGATGGTAAATATACGGCTACTGGGAAGGTTTACATTCAACACCTAACTCCAGAGCGAGGGTCGAGGATGATGAAAGGGGTTACTTAACCTGTATAGCAGGGCTAGATCATGTAGGTCAGATCACTCTATGTAACCTACTCTTTTTCATATTAGCTATATTACTCTAACCTCAACTTCAGTGTGTTCTTCAGATGTGCTAAACAACATGCTACTGACTGTCGTGATAGAATGAGTCGATATACACAATACTGTGACATTCACATAAGATTTCATTGATTGAACAATCAAATCGTGGAAAATCTACAGTTTTGGTACTAGGTCTATCATTCTAGTAGCGACGATAAATGCAATTAGCCCCTTTCATAAATTTGGATAGTGCAATGAGAAGACAATTACGCCTGGAGTCCCTCCGGGGGCTACTGCCGGTCCCAAGCCCGGATAAAGGAGGAGGGTTGGGCATGGGGTTAGCGCCCCCAGCCCGTAGAAAACTAACTCGCTAAAAAGACGCTAACCAGAAAAAATTATTCAAACCTTTTAAACTCTGCCCTGGGAGTCAGAAGGTCTTCATTTAGAAGAATTATGACGCCTCATGATGAAAGCCGAATTCCTTCGGAAGTTACGAGGCCGATGCCCCTTCTGACAACCAGAGCAACCATTTATTTAGGTACATGGAATGTTCGTACAATGTGGGACACCGGAAGAGCCTTCCAAATTGCTGCAGAAATGAGAAGATACAACCTAGAGGTACTTGGGATCAGTGAAACACATTGGACACAAGTTGGACAACAACGACTAACTACAGGAGAGCTCCTGTTATACTCCGGCCATGAAGAAGAAAATGCACCACATACACAAGGAGTTGCATTGATGCTGTCCAAACAAGCGCAAAATGCACTTATAGGATGGGAATCTCATGGACCAAGGATCATCAAAGCCTCCGTCAAAACAAAGAAAGAGGGTATTTCAATGGACATCATCCAATGCTATTCCTACCAACGACTACAATGAAGACGCTAAAGATCAATTCTACAATAGGCTGCAGTCAATCGTCGAGAAGTGCCCAACAAAGGACCTGACCATCCTGATGGGAGATTTCAACGCCAAGGTTGGAATGGACAACACTGGATATGAAGACATCATGGGACGACACGGACTGGGAGAAAGAAACGAAAATGGTGAGAGATTCGCAAACATATGTGCCTTCAATAAGCTGGTCATAGGCGGCACCATATTCCCACATAAACGCATACACAAAACCACATGGACTTCACCGGATCACTCTACACAAAACCAAATCGACCATATTTGCATCAACAAAACGTTCAGGAGGACTATAGAGGACGTGAGAACCAAGAGAGGAGCTGATATAGCATCAGATCATCACTTGCTGGTCGCCAAGATGAAATTGAAACTCAAGAAGCACTGGGCAACGGGGCAGACAGTATCACAAAAGTTCAATACGGCCTTTCTCCAGGATACTAACAAACTCAACAAATTCAAGATAGTCCTCAGCAACAAGTTCCAGGCCTTTCATGATCTACTCAATGGAGAAGGAACTACTGTGGAGAGCAACTGGAAGGGGATCAAAGAGGTAATCACTTCAACATGTCATGAGACCATGGGTCACAAGAAGCACCATCACAAGGAATGGATCACTGTCGATACACTGGATAAGATTCAAGAAAGAAGGAACAAGAAGGCAGCAATCAATACCAGTCGAACAAGAGCAGAAAAAGCCAAGGCACAAGCTGAATACACAGAAGTAAACAAACAAGTGAAGAGGAGCATCAGAACCGACAAACGTAAATATGTGGAAGATTTAGCAACGACGGCGGAAAAGGCTGCAAGAGAAGGAAACATGAGAAAATTGTATGACACGACAAAGAAACTCTCTGGAAATCGCTGCAAATCAGAACGACCAGTGAAAAGCAAGGAAGGCAAGGTAATCACCAACATTGAAGAGCAACAAAACAGGTGGGTAGAACACTTCAAAGAACTCTTGAATCGACCAGCCCCACTGAACCCGCCCAACATCGAAGCAGCACCCACGGACCTCCCAATCAATGTTGGCCCACCAACAATTGAAGAAATCAGCATGGCCATCAGAAAAATCAAGAGTGGCAAAGCAGCAGGACCGGACAACATCCCAGCAGAGGCACTAAAGGCAGACGTAGCGGCAACTGCAAGGATACTCCACATTTTCTTCAATAAGACTTGGGATGAGGAACAAGTACCAAAAGACTGGAGAAAGGCGATGTCAGAAAGTGTGATAACTACAGAGGCATCACTCTTCTCTCAATACCGGGAAAAGTCTTCAACAGGGTATTGTTAAACAGGATGAAGGACTGCGTAGACGCCCAATTCCGTGACCAACAGGCAGGATTCCGTAAGGATAGATCGTGTACAGACCAAATCGCAACTCTACGGATCATTGTGGAACAATCAATTGAATGGAATTCATCACTCTACATCAACTTCATTGACTACGAAAAGGCATTCGACAGCGTGGACAGAACAACACTATGGAAACTTCTTCGACACTACGGCGTGCCTCAGAAGATGGTCAATATCATACAGAACTCATATGATGGATTACACTGCAAAATTGTGCATGGAGGACAGTTGACAAAGTCGTTCGAAGTGAAGACCGGTGTCAGGCAAGGTTGCTTACTCTCACCCTTTCTCTTTCTCCTGGTGATCGACTGGATCATGAAGACGTCAACGTCTGAAGGAAAGCGCGGGATACAATGGACATCTAAGATGCAGTTGGATGATCTAGACTTCGCAGACGATCTGGCCCTTCTATCCCAAACGCAACAACAGATGCAGGAGAAGACAAACAGTGTGGCAGCAGCCTCAGCAGCAGTAGGTCTCAATATACACAAAGGGAAAAGCAGGATTCTCCGATACAACACAGAATGCACCAATCCAATCACAATTGACGGAGAAGATTTGGAAGATGTAAAAACCTTTACGTATTTGGGCAGCATCATTGATGAACAGGGTGGATCTGATGCAGATGTGAAGGCGCGGATCGGCAAAGCAAGAGCAGCATATTTACAACTGAAGAACATCTGGAACTCAAAGCAACTGTCAAACAACACCAAGGTCAGGATTTTCAATACAAATGTCACAAATATTTGTAAAAAAAACATTCATCATAAATTGATGACGAGTTTAATATGTCAGACTTTATATATTTCTGTTAACATAGGCAACACTTGAGTGTGCAACTCAGTTTATTTGATCAATCCATCTTAGTAATTATCACTTATATACGATTTCAACAGTCAAATAAGATTCGAAATACTCGCTTACAATTTACTTCAACGTAAATTATTATATAACTGATTTGGGATAATGTGACTCAACAAACAATACTCATAAAATCAAACGTTCCTTTACAACCAATTTTATCAGTGTGTCGATCACCTACATACAACCTCGCTAAATGGCTGCCAAAATTACTTAATCCCGTCCGAAGACGTTTATGTAAGTAATCTCTAAAGGATTATTTTTTAAAGCGGTCGATCATTTAGGTGGTATTAATATCAAGGGAAAGATAATATGTTCATGTGACGTGAATTCCTTGTTCGTAAATGTACCTATAAATCGACTGTTGATATATTATGTGACCACATATCTTTGAACAACCCTAAATTACCTGTTCTTTTAAAAACGTTTTAAGGATTTAGTACTACTATGTACTGACAAAGTCCAGTTCACATCTAAAAGTGAATACCTTCGCCAGATCGATGGGGTTGCTATCGGTAGTTAGTCAGGACCACTGTTACAGATGTGTTCATGGCACATGTCGGAAATCTAGCTGAAAATCTAATTGAAAACATATCTCGTTTTAAGAGTTATGTGAATGATATCTCAGTTGTCTGTGAAAAACATTATGATATTAATTGTTAATTAAACGAACTTAATACTTTAGAACCACATCAGTCTTTCATATAAAGGGGAGGAAGACGACCAGCTTTCTTTATTAAACATACCTATAAGTAGAACAGAAGATGGTTCAATCTAACGATCCATCTTTAGGAAACTAACGTGTACAAGCCAGTAGTTATAATAAAAATTGTTCCGTTCAATACAAACGAAATTCGATAACTGGCCTTTTTAACAGATTTGATCATATTTGTACAAGTAACGCTAGTAATGACGAAGTTAGGTTGTTGAACAAAACATTAATGGATATAAGTTACACGAGAACGATCACGCCTGCAAGGCTGAGCCATGCCATCAGATGAATTGAATTAATATTCCTGCTTTTTTACAGTTAACCACCTTTTCGTGCCAATTGTTGAATATAAGTCTTTCCAGCAATTATATGCTTAACTTCAAAGGTCGTGTGGTTAGGATTCAATGACACTAAAATTACTCTACCCAACGATAAGTGCATTTAATACCGGCCTGGTTTATAATTCTGCAAACTTACATGTAGATCAGTATTTGTGGGCATGGTTTTTGGTATGTTATTTGGGCTTGTAGCGGTAA